TCGTGTTCCACGCGGAGCATTATATCCCCGTCATAATAGGTCCTTCTCTTCCTACAGTACATGTAGGATCGGCAACAACAATGCTGGGGCGGTTGAAGAATGGGTGTGTTCTTGGGCCATCATAGAAACATAGATAGGGTCAATGACGGAATGAAGAACGAAACTTTACGACAGCTTTTTCGTAGACGTTCACTTGCATCACATACACAAGTGCTCTCTGAACCGGGCAATAAGGTCACCGGTCCATTGTACAACCATCCATATTATGAATCTATGTTTATGTAGAGCCATAGAGGTCCATACTAGTTCAGTAGTTCTCGTATGTGGTTGTTAGCCAATTAGTGTTAAATAGCTTCTGGTGATGGAATATTTCCTAATTTGTGCGAGTATGTATCGACCTTGGCTATACCAACCCTGTATTTGGACCTTAATTGCATTTAGTTTCCTCAAATATCAACTACAATCTACAGGTGCTCTGTGATTCCTCAAATATCAACTACAACTTCTCTATTTGCATATGCATTTCTGTTGATGATCGAAGGATTTTGCTGTGTATTTTCAACTTGATTACGTAGTTTATCAATTGATTTAGCTTATTCAAGTTTTCATTTGCCATTTTTGATGAATTTTGAGAAAATTCAAAATTCAAATTAGAGACCTAAATAAGAAATTAAAGCAGCTTACAAACCCTAAATTCAAGATTTGAAGTTGAAATGAACATAAACAACTAAATCATACTTATTTTTTAGAGAAAAAATCATGTTTTTTTTACAAAAGGAACAAGGGTTAATGGTGGGGAAGAAGAAACAATGGTTTATTTAATGGTAGGAAAGATGACTGTTGGAGAAAGAGGAAATTTTCGTCAAAATTCACCTTCTAACGCGCCTAAAAGAGGTGAGAACATCTCCTATGACAAATCAACACTTAAGTGTGTAGAAAATAGAGAAATATAAAGTTTAGGGGGTAATAGAACACCCTTGAAATTGGAGTGTGTAGTTGGAGTTTCGGGTATAGGTTGGGGGGGTTTTAGATCATTTTCTCTTTTAAAAAAAAAATATTTCAGCAATAATAGAAAACAAGGACTTGCTAACAGTATTTATGTTATTAGTGATAATTAAAATAATATATTCGACCATTATTTTATTTTATGGATTATCATATCGAACTTATTATAAAAAATTTTTTGCATGATATTACAGATCAATTAAGTTGATGATTGAAAAGAAAGACGTTATTTTCTCTGTTTTACTTTTTTTTTCGTTTTAGTAATTTTTAAAAGAATTCTCTTTGTTTTCTTACGAACTCTTTTATTTCAACTTTATATATGTCATGTTTAACTTCACAAGATTAACAAATATTTTAGTAGATTTAATATATTCTTTAAGGAAAAATTACAAAAGTATACTACTTAAAACTTCTATTAACAAAATATCAATATACTTATATTTAATTACAAACTAAGTTTTTAAATTGCATACATAACAAAACATTTAATTTTATTATTTATTTATCTTTTTACCGAAATTCTCTCTCTTTGACTCTTAGTAGTTCGTGCCATATTATGTGGAGTGTAATTATGTATTTAATTTTATTATATATTCTCTCTCATTAAACACACCCACATACACACGTTTGTTTATGTTTTTTTTATTTCCTTTATTATGTTTTGTAGTCATTTATTGGGATTCCTTTTATATAAAGATTTGTGGTACCAATAAAGTTGTTACAGTACTGTAATTGAGTTATAGTTCCAAGAAATATTACAAATTCCTTTTCACACGATTCATTATTTTTTTATTTTCCTTTTTACATTTTGTAGTCATTTTTTTGTTCATATTGATTTATTCCTTTTATTTAAAGATTTTTATGGTACCAATAAAATTGGTACAATTATTGATAACTGAGTTATTTCCTAGAAATAATAAGAATCCTTTTTTCAGCGGTATATTGAGTTAACCCTTCAATTTTAATCATTCATATCTCTTAAACCTTACATCTTCTTCACTTAATCGTTTTTCATTCGAATTAACCAGAGGCCTCACCATATAATTGTGCCTTTTTTACCATATATAAACCAATTTTTTTACATGAATAGAATGTGGTAATTATGGTAACGGTCCAAACCAAAATATTAACCTTTTATAGTTTTTTACAATATACCGTTATAGGTTGGTATATAACTCAAATAGTTGAATTACTTTATACAACCAGTATTATGACAATTGGTTTTAGCATTACCAAATCTTTTTTATATGTGCTATTTGATTTCATGCAATGTTTAGTTTGGTATATATACCATTACGTTTACCAAGTTTTGTGTAGTTTTTAGTTCAAGTAAACCAATTTTTTTACATTAACAGAGTGTGTTTTTTCTGCTATCATTCAAACCATGATTTTAACCTAAGCTAGTTTCTTTCCATTTATTGTTTTATGTTGGTATATAAAGTAAACATATGATTTCTACACACAACCATTATTATGTGCCTATATGTTTACCAATTGCGTGACTATTTTACCATATATTGGTTCCAGATCAAACCAATATATTAACACACCTTTATTCATTATTCCTATATTTTTATCAATATCTAGGCATATTTTACAATTGTTAATCAATGTTTTACATTAACATAGTCTATTATTTCTGGTAACCAAGTTTTTCACATTAAGTAGTTTCACTAAAATTATTTCTGTTTTAGGCTGGAATTATATACACCCACATCGTTATGAATCTTCTTTGGTGGTGATGGACCAATCACGCAATACTTGAGTTCCAAATGATAAATGGTCGTGTCCACACCCAATTGTGAAAATATAGTAGTAATCAAGCCTTCGTATTTGGTGTTTGCATCATACATCACTCCTTCAAATTCGTAATCCACATAATTACCTGTAGAAATTTTCAAATTATTAATAAATTTTAAAAAAAATGCAGAATGAATTTTATACACTCATCAATTTAAACAGTTTGGTAGTTACATTGGTATTCGATGGTATATAAGACAGTTATCGATATACTTTAGTAATTGCCCAAAATGTGCACCAATGTTCTCACCAAATTTTTCACCTCAATTTTCACCATCAATTACACCAAATAATTTATTACACCAATAAATACAGCAACTCATACATCAATAATTTATTACGTATTTTGAAATTATGGTATTATATATTAGACCAATAAATACACCAACTCATACATCATAGTATTATTTTGGTGTCATTTACTAGAAACAAATATACCAGCATAAATACCACATCACATACCTAAACCAATTTGTGGTAATTCACACAATCAGTTAAACCATACAATGTATTACACCAATTGACGTACCAATAGTAATCTGACATTTAACCCAAACATACACCAACACATTTATCAGAGTATTAATTTACCACCAATTTATAGAAACAAATATACCAGATTAAGTACCAGATCACATATGACCAATTTTCAAATTATTATCTACACCAATTCAGAAAAATAAAATACACCAAAAAATTAATTGATTTTTTTTAAAGTTATATTTTATATACCAACTAATACAACTAAATACACAAAAATATGTACCTGAAATTTAACTTGAAGTTGGTATGTGTACACCATATCACATACCAAAAGAAACTATTGATAAAATCTGTTAACATTCGGCATGCAACATACCAATTAAACCACTTAATTAATGATTTTATATTAACTTGGTGCTTTAATCAATTTAACCTAATTTTTTAAAAAGAAAAACTTATTCGGCTCATCAGATTACAACCAAAATCATATGATGTTGTTGTATTACACCAAAATCGTTAATATAAAACAACGAATAAATACCAAAAAGAATTAAACGCAGATTATGTGAAAATCCTATTAATATTCCACAAACAATTGCTAAATCTTAATATCTATTTAATAATTAAACCTTTTACAGTTGCACCAGAACATTAACCAAAATCTTAAGAATGTATATTCCATCAATTTCGACAAAACCAAAGGAATTACTACCAAAAAGATTACCTGATGAGTCCCAACGCCCGCTGTGATGAATTAGAATTGAAAAATTATTGGTCTGCATATTTGATCGTCGATCTTAATTTGAAACATAAGTTTTATTTTTGTAGGAAACCTTTCTTTATGGGATATGATATATAACAAATTGGAGTAAATCAGGGAAGGTAAAATAATTGGAGAAATTTAAGGAATATGGATAATTGTGGCTGACTTGGTAAACGTTTTTTTTTTAATAAGAATTCCAGTTTTGAAAAAAAAATTTGCTATTCAATTGATTTTTTCCCTGCTATATTCGTGTAATTAAAGTTATTAAGTTGTATACTTAAGTTTTTTGCCCTTTTTTTAATTGGGAACCTTACATAAATTTCACTAGTTTAAGAGTTAATTACTTAGATACACTTTAGTTTGCAATATTACGTATCTTACCAGATTTTAGTGCATCCAAATACATGTATTTTGGGATATATGGGTAAAAATTAGGTGTAATTTGTTCTATATACATTGTATCTAAGTGGATTCACATATATTTGAGATACAGAACAAATCTCGCTCACATCTCTCTCATCTCGCTCGCCACTGTATATGTGAATCACACCAGATACATATATCTAATGTGTATCTAGTGTGATTCACATATATTTGGAATACATAACTAATCTCACTTGCTTTCATCCCCATCTCATTCGCCTCTCTCCCTATTTTAGTGAATATGGTAGCAAAACTACATATATCTAAGTGTATCTTCCTTAATATATGATAGGAAACTCTTAATTAGTAGTAAAATATATAATATTTTGAAAATATAAATATTAATAGTACACATGATGATAAAATATGTCTAATTATGTAGTTTCAATATTTATTATTTTTCCAAAATTTCTTGTCAATTTAAATTAAGATAAACAAATCAAAATGAATAAAGTATCTGAAAACTTTATATAATATAATTGATTTACGATATCGTTGCGTGTAAGGTCAAAAATAGTGGCTTAGGACAATTAAACGAATTCTTAACATGCCAACATTTCCAATGTATTTTACTAAATAAAAATGGTTGATTTCTGCTGAATAAACTGAAGTGTAAACACATATCAACCCCTTTCTTCTCGTAGACATTTCTACAAACAGTTGATGGGCATAACAGAGGCAGCAACTAAACTGTAGGGAGAGTAAAGATGGCAGCTTGTTCTAGTAAAGGAGGGTGCCCAAGTGACTATGTAGCCCTTTCAGCTGCTCTACTGTCCATGATCTTGTAAGTTCTCTGAAAAATTCTTTGTTTTTTTTTTGTTCAATTGGTTTTTTTGCTGGTTGTGGAAATTGTGAAGTCAAATACTTGTGGTTTGTGTTTTACTTGCTGTTTTTGATTGATAGGTATGCAATCTTGGACAAATTGAAAGACACTATTTTTTTTTCCTTTGATATTGTGAAAATTCTGCGGAATTCAAAGAAAATTGGACTTTGTTGGGAACGATTTCTTTTGTTTGTCAATATGGGTGATAAAAGATGGAAAAGATCAAACTTTGGAATATGAAGCAAGATTACCCTCCTTTTTGATTATTCAGTTTGATAAAGGGGTGAAGAAGGTTGACATATAAGGCTTTTTTGTGTTCACAAGATTTATTTACTTCTAACTAGGTCAATGAATTAGGGGTTGGAAGATTGTACGCCTCTAGAGCTTGCTTTGCTTTTATTTGTCTTGCTTTCACATGTCCTCTTCCCACTTTAATATGTCAATGTGGAAAGGAAGGGGAAGTCTAACCAGGATGTGCGTAGTGGCGGATCTAGAATTTTCATTAAGGGGGTTTGGAAAATATAAATTTAGTGCTTGAAATTTGAACTTGAAGTTCAAGGCCCTAAATTACCAGGCCAGCCTCTAGTCTTTGTTTGGGGGATTTAAAGTCTATATATGTTCATAAAAAGTAAAAAAATTACCTTATATATACATTGTAATATTTTACCAAAGATGTTCGGGTGAATGCTCTCCCGTTCCCTAAATCTGCCTAAAACTCCAGTAGAACTTGCCAAAGCTGTCAAAGAGAGTTTAGTGTCCTGGGAATGTACAAAGCTAAAAAAATGGAAACCAAGTGCAGAAAAAACCAGAATTGAACCCCCGACCGATTCACAACCTTGGGGAAAACTTGAACCTCCTTGACCACCTAAGTTTCTCGGACTCTGGTGCGGGTGTCCGATAGGGGTGCGGATCTAGAGGTCGGATCCTTCATGATCTAATTTTTAAGATTCGGGGATATGGATCCATGTATGGATACCGTATCGCTCATGATATATATCAACACTCGGACATCTATTGCAAGTGCATATCCCACTTTTGCACAGCAGGGTTATGAAAATCCACGAGATACGGGTGCGGAGATTCGCCTAAAGTAATTAAAATATCTAAAAATAGAGTTATAAATCCTAAATTATAAGTTATTATGTGGAGAAGTTGAGGAGAATCGTGGAAGGAGATTAAAGGTAATGAGTGACATCGAAATTTCTACATAAAAGGTATTCCATTTTCTTCAATTTCACCTTAGCTTTTGTATTGGTTACAAAAATCATTAAAACTGTCCAGACTTACCCCATCGATTTTGGTCAAAGTACCCAAAATCGGTTGGCCAAATCGGACACGGATCCCACGCCCCTGTCGTGTCGACACGGGTGCAGCACCAAAAGTGAAGAGTCCGAGCAACTTAGTTGACCACTATGCTAAGCTTTTCAGTTGTGTTGAGGGGGTTCATGTTAGCATATATACTCATAAAAAACTAATATAATCTTACATATATAGTGTATTTTTCCGACGAAGGGGGTTTGGATGAACCCCCTCCCGCCCCTTTAGATACGCCCCTGGACGTGGATAGGGGAAATCTTAACAGCTGCTGCAGCACAAGATGGGGCTTAGAATTTATCAACTTAGTGTTTTTGGATTTTCCCGATTTAATTCATCGTAACGTCCCCAATTTTTTGTTCATACGTTGTAATACTAGTATCTGTTCTAGATTGAGATTTTGCTCTTCCCACTTAAAAACAACTAATTGAAAAATGATAGTATTTAATGGTGATATACCAAAAGATAATATACATAGTAATGCAAAATAAGTAAACAACAAATTAACAAAACTATGAGAGAAGAAAGTAATATGGACAAAAAGTAGAATACAACATTATGAAACGGGGTGCGTGAGGTTAGCTGTGGCTGGTGAAATCATCCCCTCTCCCTCCCCATTGACACCCCAAACATTTTTATCTTAACTTCCCCCCATTTGTAAGGATGGTGTTGCGTTAATTTTCTTCTCTTCTCCCCCTTACTTTATTGTGGAGTAGCAGAGGTTCAAAGACTGTCTGCATATCCAGGGAAATGGAGACAAATAGAGAGTATGATGTAAGCAAGGGGGTGAGAAAAAAATAATAGGAATCTGCTCCATCTTTTTTTAGGCTGTTAAGGGTGAGAGAAGAGGAGGTGGGTAGATTTGGAGTGTCTTACCTGGATTAAGTTCATTCCTTCAATTTCCCCCCTTGTGTTTTAGTGATTTTTTGCATGTCAAGATGTGTGATTGTGTTCTACTGTTAATTTTAAGTTGACATTTAATAAAAAACACGTTTGCCACAATAATGTGATGCTCACAGAATGTTTGTCGCGTTGTCTTTTATTTTATGAAGTAAAGCCACTTTAATTTTTCTTGTGCTGGAGCTTTTGATGATTCATTTTCTCCATTATTGTTTAAAGTTTCATTATTTTGTATATCCATTCAATGCTTTAGATTTTGTTTCCATGTAAGTTACCTAAGATGTTGGCATTAACCACTTCAGTTTCCTCTGCAGACTTCTCCTGAAAGCGACATTACCTTACATGATTCACAAGATTCCTAGGTCCAAAGGCAGTAGCTTTTGGCTAGTGGCAATTCAAGTTATTGCAAGCTTAAATCTGTTGTTGTCCATAGTGGTATCTACTTTTCATTTCCTTTATATGGTATTAATGCTCCAGAATCCGATTTAACATTCCAAAACACTAATGGGACTATACTTTAATTTCCATATAATATTCATTAGGGAGGGATGTAGTTAACAAGCGACGGGTTCAACCGAATCCAATAATTTTAATACGGACTTTAGATGTGTGTGTGTGTGTATATATATATAAGTAAAGAGTCACCAATTTCAGTAATACTACATTTTTAACCCAGAATTTTAAGTGCATCGGTGATAAAAACATAAAGATTCAACCCATCAAGTTTAATCCTAGATCCTCCTCTGATATTCATATGGCTTCTGCAGATGGCCCTCAATTTTCTAAAGTTCAGAAAGAGACATTGGTGGAGGTCATGCTATCTTTGGGCAGGTAATTTACTCTTCAATCCATGACCGAATATGATTTGGTTTTCAAATTTCTTGCCTTAATCTGGTGCTTGATTGTTTGTTCTGCAATACATCTAACCCTCCTTGCTTTCCAGTCTGGATTGAAGGTCCACTCGGATTTGGTTTGCTGTTGAGCTGCCGTATTACACAGATATTCCAACTATATTATATATTTGTGAAGTAAGTTTGACTTTTTAAAAAAATTATTGACAACTGTTATTCTTTGTTTGATGAGATGATTATGTATCAATTGACCTCATCAATATTCAATTGAGTTAAATGGTGCAGCCTCCTCAATCCAACTCTTTTCCCTGGAAGAAAATAAACAAATAGAAATAGCTGCATGTCTCCTGAGGAAAATAGGATAATGGACTATCACAAACGTAATTCCTGCTTCACAGAAATGAAAAGAAGATTGATTACCTGCAGATATTAAAGGTTGCTCAAAAATAGTACACCACCCCTGAGATAAAGTGATATCATATCTTTATGTTGGGATGGCCCTCCTAAAGATATGTGACAACTGAAATAAAAAGAAACAGAACTCATCTACTATGTCTTATCTGTACTTTTTTTTCCTTTGCCTCCTTGTCTCTCTGTCTGGTTTACTTTTTTGTTGTTTGAAAAATTTGCGAAATAGCTTTAAAAGACTATGTCTTAGTGCTATTGTTGATTCATGTTACGTGGAAAAACTCTTTTCCGATAGTCTTATATTTCTTCGTTTTGTATGGTGCTTCAGGAGACGTCTGCCACCAATTAGATCCTATATTTTTCTTCTACTGATTCTCTTGCCATGGGTAGCTCTTGCTGCAGGTAAGATTCTTCAAGTTGAACTTTATAAAGAAGTCTTCTTTTAAGTTTCTTTTATTGAAATACTAATATATATATATTTTTAAAGATAATAAAATCATGTGGAAGTATGGCATTTTAGTATGGAGGAGTGTCGCTTCTGGATTTTGCTAAAGTTTATGAGCTGGTGATAACAAATTCATGCTTTCCAATAAAGGAGGACCACTTGGTTACCTTTGGTAGTGCGGTGGCCAGAACTCAGATTGATTACTTACTCCATCGAAAGGGTGATAGGTGCAAATAACATGTGGGATAAGATAGCTAGTTGCGTTAGAAAAGCAATCAGAGAGGTGTTAGGGTTTTTGAGGGACTATATTGTGGCCATCAAGGGGATTGGTGGTGAAATGGAGACGTACAAGGTAAAATGGAAGCAAAAAACGCTGCTATGCTAAGTCAGTGTTGAGAAAAGATGTGGTGGAGAGGCGGACAAACACGATAAGGTATAAGGTGATGAGAAAGGACACGAAGTAGCAGTCATGACGGCAAAAACGACAGATTTCAAACGCTTGTATGTTGATCTAGGGGACAAAGAAGAGGATAAGAAGTTGTACATGCTCTCCAAGGCGAGAGAGAGGAAGCCTGGGGACTTGGATCAAGTGAAGTGTATCAAAGACGAGGACAGTAAAGTACTAGTGGAAGAGGCACACATTAGACAAAGATGGCAAGCATACTTTCATAAACTCTTGAACCAAGAAAGGGTCACAGACATCGTGTTGGGTGTTTGAGAGAACTCGGAGAGAGCGGGATTTTTATTACCGTAGGTATTTTAAGGTTGAGGAGGTTAACAGTGCTATGCGTAAGATGAGTCAGGGTAGAGTGACTGGACCAGATGAAATTCCAGTAGAGTTCCGAAAGAGCACAGACAGGGTGGGTTTGGAGTGGTTAACTAGGTTGTTTAATGTCGTTTTTAAGACGTCTAAAATGCCCGATAAATGGAGGTGGAGTACAATGATTCCGTTGTACATGAACAAGGGTAATATCCAGAACTTCAACAATTACAGGGGTATTAAGTTGCTGAGTCACACCTTGAAAGTTTGGGAGAGGGTGTAGGTAAGGGTAAGGAACTCCATTTTTGAGAACCAGTTTGGATTCATGTCAGGGCGTTCAACTATTGAAACCATTCATCTTGTGAGATGACGGATGGAGAAATATAGGGAGAGGAAATGGGATTTGCATATGTTGTTCATTGACCTTGAAATGGCCTGTTACAATCCCGAGAGAAGTCCTTTAGTGATGTTTAGAGTCTAAAGGTATTCTAATGGCTTACATTAGAGCAATAAAGGACATGTATGATGGAGCCGAGACTCTTGTTAGAACAATGGTAGGAGTGGCAAACTAACAGGTCTAGTCGAACATGAGTCGATCGAAAATGAGTTGAACAAAAATGGATAAAATAATCGACTTGACTCATATTTTAAATGGGTGAAAACGAGTTACCCAATGGATAATGTGTAAGTATGGATACCCATATTATAATAGGGATCATGTCAAAAGCTTCAAAAGATTCTTCACCCCCACCCCCACCCCACTCCACAAAATATTAAAACTTTTAAAATTTATTTCTTTATCACCCCCACCCCTATCCCGTCCCCAACCTAATGCCTTCCCACCTCCACCCCCACCCCACTCCACAAAATATTAAACTTTTAAAATTTATTTCTTTATCACCCCCACCCCTATCCCGTCCCCAACCTAATGCCTTCCCACCTCCACCCCCACCCCACTCCACAAAATATTAAACTTTTAAAATTTATTTCTTTATCACCCCCACCCCTATCCCGTCCCCAACCTAATGCCTTCCCACCTCCACCCCCACCCACCCCTACCCCCACCCCAATGCCTAAAAAATTAAATTTGTTTTTTTTAAAAAAAATTAATTTACTTTTTACTATCGCTATCCCTACCCTCCCCACCACCACCACTACCCCTCCCCCCCTTCCATTTCCAAAAAATTAATTTATTTTTTAGAAAATTTTAGATTTTTTTCCTTATACCCCCTACCCCGACCACCTACACTTCAAAAAAAATATTAATAATGTCACTCTTTTTTATGAATGAGCCTTTTTTACCCATTTTACCCATTTAACTACCCGCTTTTAAATGGGTAATATGAGTTTGACTCATTTTTTACCCATTTTATCCATTTAACTACCCGCTTTTAAATGGGTAATATGAGTTTGACTCATTTTTACCCATTTTAAATTAGTTGGGTACCCAACCTATTTAAGATGGGTAATTTGAATGGGTACCATATAAATTACCCATTCTGCCACCCCTAAACAATGGGAGGAGACTCAGAGCACTTCCCAGTCAAGATGGGGTCCAACGATCTGCGTTGAGCCTGTCTCTATTTGCCTTGGTGATGGATAAGTTGATGCGGCATATTCAGGGTGAGGTGCGTTGGTGTTTGTTATTTGTAGATGACATTATTTTGATTGAGGAGACTCGCGGCGGAGTTAACGATAGGTTGGAGGTGTTGAGACAAATTCTACAGTCTAAATGGTTCAAGTTGGGTAGGACCAAGTCAGAGTATTTGGAGTGTGAATTATGTGATGTGACGTAGGAGCCAGATGTGGAAGTGAGACTTGATACTCAAGTTATCCCTAAGAGAGATAGATGTAAGTATCTAGGGTCTTTGCTCCAAGGAAATGGGGAGATCAATGATGATGTCACACCATATTGGTGCGGCATGGATGGAGTGGAGGCTTGCATCCGGTGTCTTGTGTGATAAGAAGGTATCACTAAAACTTAAACGTAAGTTTTATAGAGTGGTGGTTAGACCAACTTTGTTGCATAGGGCGGAGTGTTGGCCAGTCAAGAACTTTGCAAGTGGCGGAAATGAGGATGTTGAGATGGATGTGCGGGCATATAGGAGCGATAGGATTAGGAATGAGGATATTCGAGACGAAGTGGGAGTGGCCTCCATGGTGGACAAGATGAGGGAAGGGAGACTGAGATGTTTTGGACACGTGAAGAGGAGAGGTGCGGATGCCACAATAAGGAGGTGTGAGAGGTTGGATATAGGGGTTGAGGAGAGGCAAAGGTAGTTAAGAAGTATTGGGGATAGGTGATTAGCCAGGATATGACACATCTTCTGTGTATCGAGGACATGACCTTAGATAGGAAGGTATGAATGTCGAGAATAAGGGTAGAAGATTTGTAGGTAGTTTTCTCAAAAGATTTGTAGGTAGTTGAGAGTTGTCTTATTACTAACCTATTCATGTCTTTGGATGGGTGGGAGTATAGAGCTCCATGCGGGTCGTAGTATTAGCATAAGCATGTAGTCTTTAGCTTTTAGTATCTGATTTCATCTGTGGTTTACTGTGTTTAGGTGACTGCACCTTGCTGCTGCTGTTACGGTTCCTTGCATATCTGCTAAGCACTGCTTTGTTATTAGCTAATTACTGCTTTGATTTGTTGTAACCGAGAGTGGGCCTGCGTACACTCTACCCTTGGTTGTTACTGTTTACGTAGTAGTTGCTTTCAATGGGTACATTCTTCTTGTTGTGGAAATATGACTTGTCTTTTGCCTACACTTTTGCAGTTGTACTACTTTATGCATTTTAATTTTCTGTTTTAGTATTTGGTTAGTTTATCTTTCAGTTGAGTCATGCCAAAACTTTGTGCAAGTGTATGAACAAATATTTTTTGCTTTTATTACCAAGTGAGAACTTGTTGATTTTAGCACAGTCAAATTGATGTTGATAATCGGCATTTAAAATTGCAAAAAGTTTGATTTTCAACAGTTATTTGATTAGTGTATTCTGCTCTTTTCATATTGTCTCTTTAGCACGTGAATTTTCTGTGTTACTTTTTTCATTTGTAGTAACATCCCTGCTATTAATATTATAAGCTTTATTTGCTAAAGTTGTTTATGTAAGAAAGGATTTTTTATATTAATACAGAGTTTGTCTGATGTAGTTATTCAAATAAAAAAGCCTCTAAATGACCGGTGCCACATGGGGACTCTGTGGATCATCCTTGTTATGGGCCTTCATGCATTATATGTTGTAGCTTTGATTGCTTTTGCTGGGGCTGTGCATCATGTGGAATTCAGATTTCATGAACTCAAAGACCTTTGGAGAGGAATTCTTGTCTCTTCAGCTTCCATTGGTTTGTTTCTATCCATTTTCTTTGATTGGCTTCTTTTCTGGCATGCTTCTTTGTCTTCCTGCGTGTGCCCTGGTAGGAGAATGACATATTGAGGAATGAAGTCAGAAAGACGTAATTAGTCTTGATTAACCACTTTCCCAATATTGTCCAAGCATCTAAAGATATTCTTACACATACCGGAAGCACCAGCTGCTATGTGAAATATTCTGTCAAGGAAAATTCAATGAGGAAAGTAATTATCTTCGGTGTAATGTCAGTTAAAGTGGCTGACTTTTTCAGATCTAATAATTGAATTTGACCATCATGACTGAGACACCAATTTAAAATACTTCTCATGCATTCCCCTCAAGTTGGATAATAAAAAACATGCATATTCAATTGCTTACAGATAAAATTCTATCTAAAATCTCAGAAATAAATTGTTATTAATTGCAGCTTGATATACAGGGTTCAGATAATCACAGACCACAAAGGCTTCTAGTATAGGATCTGTCTATTGAGTATAAACGGTGAGATATCTTATACCCCATTTAATACAAAGGCAAGTTCAGGAACCGCTCGGTTAAACACACTACATTATGTAGTTGTGAATGCAAATCAAAGTTTTTGATGGAAATTCTTGGTGATGTAAATTGCATTATAGCCCTGTAAACAAGACTCTTGGCTTGGTTCTGGAAAGCAGATTATTTATTGCTTTAGCAAGACTTCGATTCCTCCAAGAGAAAATTATTACTCCCTTCCTGTCATTTAGCTTCCTGAGAATCAAAATAGTGTGATATTTGACCAAGTCTTTTTTGATATATTTTTCATTTTTATAGTGGTGTAATTTGGAATATCTGAATTTTAATCTTAAGAAATGAAAATTCTTTATCCAATTATCAATGAAAATTGATCAAATTGACCATAAGCAAAACTGTCACCAAATTGTACGGGGAACTGGGATGAATGAAGAAGATTTTTTCCCTATGACTTGAGATCTTGCTCACATACATGTACATGCTCTTCGTTCTATGTGACCAGTTGCTTTTGACACACCCAAACGTCATGGCAAAACTTTTAAACTGTGTGTACCAGACATAGTTGAGGAAAGGTTTGGTGTGTGAAAGTTTCTTTCGTGAAGTTAGGGTGTGAAAGGGATCCTGTGACATGTTTGGGGGGAAAGTATGTATTAAGCCTATCTTCAATCACAGGAAAGAATATCCTTTTAACGATCAAGCGTCATTAGCAGGATAAACTTCTAGAATCTCTGACATTTATGATAGTCGTCCAGACTACTAAAAATATTGATGTGCGCCTAGCGTTACTGTTGTAGCTAGTGTATACTCAATTGTAGCTAGTGTATACTCAATGTATAACAAAGGCATACATAGTGTGTAACAAGTGTAAAATAATTGTATAGTCAGTGTATATTGTATACACAATATCACAGATTATATTGTGATTAAACTGGCTAAATTTTGTAAAAAGTAAATATCAGGGTTATTTTTTAAATGGGCCACTTTGGACTGTTGTGTAGTAAATAGTCCTATATTATACTCCCTTTGTTTCAGTTTATGTTGCAACATTTTCTTTTTAGTCTAATCCAAAAAGAATGGAAGCTTTCTAAATTTGGAAACAATTTTTTTTTTGATTTGCACCGGGTGTCCGAGTCTCTTTGAGCCCCGACTAATCCCGGGGGTGCACAGGCCCTCGGCAAGGAGTTTCCCGCAAGTGCACCACGGTTAATTCAGGTTTTACCCAGTCCGATGGCCCTCAGAAATTGTTTGCACCCAGTGGGTTTCGAACTTGAGACCTTGAAAGGGAGCAAACCCCAAGGCTCAAGTCAATTGCCAGCAGGCCAACCCCTGAGGGTTTTTGGAAACAATTTAACTTTAACTTCTCAGTTTACTTTCAACGAGAAGATTTTATAGCCACACAAATGCTATGTCATGCTTAAGACAACTAGTTTGACGAGTCCTTTTCTTTCTTATTGAAGGAGTTGAACGTAATGAGTTGAATGAACGTAGCTTTTGATAAGACATATGTCACGATCCAAAAATGAACATGATGACACTCGTCTTATTCCACCAATCCCACCAAGACAAGTCAGCCTAAAACTCAGATATTACAAGAAAAATGCGGAAATTTATAATCAACTTAAAAAAACCCCCAAAACCTGGTTGTCACGTGTACAAGCCTCTAAAGTATTACAATTGAATCAAAAGAAAAATACAAGTCTCATATGACAATTGTTTCTAGAATAGAACAAGATCATAAATAGGAGTAAGAAGGTCTGCTGCGATGACAAACAACTTCCTCACAAATTTCCAAGAAGCCTCGGAAAATAAGAGAATAGAAAGTATCACAAAAAGCCAGGCTCGTAACCTACAAAAATTGTAGAAGCAAGGGGTGAGTACCAAACCACACGGTACTCAGCAAGTAAACTTCTAAACACAAGCTAAGGGAATAGAATACGGGTACTCCTTACACCCCATCCGAACCTCCACAACTACAACCTACATAAAACCAGCCCAACCTAACAGGTCACAGTTTACATAGCATACAACTTAACAACAACACTCTAACAATTAGATATCCTCAACAACAAACTCAATATTCACCAATCACAAGTTCCACAGAAAGGCACTCACAAGATCAACAACACACAAGATCAAGTTCACCAATGATAAAGATGTGCAATGCAATGCAATGAAATGAAATGTCAAGTATAATGATGCATGTCTGACCTAATGATTCACACCCGCTGTCTCACAGTCCGGGATCCATGGGACATATATGTCCATGCATCTATTGCGGCATGCGACACGACCCTTGATAATAGTATCTGTTGCGGCGCGCAACACGTCCCTCGATATATAGTATCCGTCGCGGCGCGTGACATGTCCCTCGAAATGGTACATCCTCTTTAATTTCTTATTCTTTCTCAATTCACCTAACACTTGTCACAACCATGTCTCAAAACAATGCAAATGACATGTTCACACAAATAATGATGAGATGACCATTTTCATAACATTGCACAATTCACAGCAACACAATCGTGATACAACATCAACAATGAATCAACAAGCCTTTCAAAATCATTCTCAACACATCACACACCAATAATTAATCACATGACCTTTTATTACCCATTTTTCATCATTAGAATTATTCAATATGGACAAGTCAACTCATCACCAAGTCCCATTACTCCCCAACACATCACAAGGAAGTACACGATTCTACACACTTAACAAGGGATTAGAAATCCATTTGCCTCAATCAATCAAGAATTCACTCCGAGACTTGAGTCTTCCCCTTTCGTTGAACTTCCAACTCAAAGCAATCTATTCACATTAATGATCACAATAAGATTTCAAAACTAACAACATCCATATCACTATGTGTCTAACATAGACCAAAAATCATAGAGCACGAATCTATAATCAAGTTCTTAACTTTTGATGCCAATTGACATGTCAACTCTTTCAACTTTTTCTCCAATTTTCAAGCCTAGGGTTGAGTTCCAATTCCTTCAAATACCATAAATCTAATGGTATTCATATAATATAATACACATAATATTTAATTATTTATCTCAATATATCAAAACTTGAACTATAATGTGATAATATAAAAAAAAATCTGAATCCAGTCAAATTATACTAAAACGGTACTTAATCTTCAAACAAGGACCATGCAGTACCTTATTTCACCATTACCGTTTCTTCTCCATAATCAACTCATGATTACTCTCTTGTTTCTCATCATTACCTAATTAATTGCCTACTAATTTTGCCCCCCCACTTTAGAAAATTTTGCATCCTTAGTAGTTAATGGAAAACAAATTGAAACTCAGCAATTCTACCTTCTCTTACCCCGCCATCAATCGATATAATATATTTATATATAATCTCCTAACAATTAGTGCATGTACCAAGAGATTAGAGTTAAGTTTAGCATATTACCTGAAGCACTTACGATTCGTTTTCGTACTTGGATGTCTGTAGTAGGGTTTTGCTCTTGTGTGATGTAATTAATAAATAATATCAACTTTATTTAACTCTAATTTATTCTTATACATGTGCAAGGTGGTAAAAGTATTAAATAAATTATGGACTAGGCCCATTAACCACCTATTAAAAGTAGTTATTTAAAATTTGCTCACTTATTAATTTACTATAGCTAAATGGATAGTTCAAAATTCTCAAGCCAACTTCACCGACTAATCAGGAATGGGTCGGGGCAACTATCGGGAGGGATAAAACGGTAATTTCCAAGAATGACCTTTCGGGTCATGACATTATCCACCACTAAAAACCATGTTCGTCCTCGAACATAAAGAAGAAGAAAGAAGGAAAACCGACATTACCAAAAGTCTGAGGTATTATTTCCAGAGTCAATGTTTATCTTTCCAAGTGAGCACATCCTTAAGACCATTCCATCAAGAGCAACTACTAAGAATTGAACTTTTGAATCAAACTTTGGAAGATCTATAAATCAAGAGTGATTATCAAGTCACAAACTAACTCATGAACTCAATCTAAACTCAACCCCATTGAACCTTAACACAACCATCATGGTGAATCTTTTCTTACATAACCAAGATAACCTTCTGAATCAATACTGACTATAACCAGAAGTGAGCTTGAATCAATCACCGGACACTCATAATGCCCAAACCATCACAGATCTTATCAAGATTTCCTTTTCACAACACAATCTTTTCACGAGCTTAAGTTATAAAAATATGATCTTTAGACATCCTGTACTCATCAAGGGAGAATTCAACTTATCTCACCCAAAGAAGAACAAGATCAAGTAACCACCAACAAGCGGTACACCCAAGTATACAAAACCTCTAACAATACTTATCGAAAATGCTAGATCAGTAGCTATGATTGTAGACGACCCTTAAGAACAACAAAACTAGACCCAATGATCCCCACATTCAACCACACATAGCGAGAACATGATCTCAACGACTAGATGAATACTAAAACTGTCGGACAATTGTAAATACCCATGGTAGCTCTTCTATAATTCTCACAAGTAAGGTGGTACATATTGAACCACTGGAATACTTCAATTTCTCCAAGATAGCACCAAATATGTCATATCTAAAATAATTAAGTCTGCCCAAGCATCCTATCCTACCAAGAGGACAATCGCAGGATCGGTACACCCGATCCACCACTAGGGATTCACCCATAGATGTGGAAACACAAGTAGCATAAGCAATGAATCATACTCCAAATAATATCCAGTACGAAGAAGGTGGTCACATAAGAATATACGAAAGCAAGGTCGAATAACACAAGATACTCCTTCCATAGTGCCCATATAAATAAAATTCCATTCATCTGACTCCATCTCTCGATTTTTAGCCGCCCACAATCAACCAGTCTGATCCCCATTACAATATTACAAATACTCGATTCATCAAACCCCATATACTTCTCACAATACTCCATTGAAGCTAACACTCTTAATACCAACAAACATCATAACTACACCAACCATTTACCTTACTCTCAAACTGCCACTAGTATCAAAGTCTTCTTATCAAATACATGTTCAAACTATGGCTACTTCTCTTTCTATTTAAGCATTTCATGACAAATACGAGTCCCCCACAAGGAGGATAGCACTAATTTCAAAGTTGATAGTACCTTTCCATCAAGATAAAACTATTAAATCACACCCAAAGTCAACTCCACACAACTTCCACATACCATGCTTTAACTACCATTTCAAACCATCACATACCTCATGCCAACACTCAGAGAAATCTTTGGTCACCCCAATTATTCTATATCCTATGAGCGCATAATCTCTATTTACCATCACATATCTATGTAACACATCACAACAGATGTGTAGTTCCATCAACAAAGTATTTTCAACCCCCTCAAAACCTCATTAACCATGTAGAACTGTAGGTCAATAATGTTGCATATCCATAAGTTATCTATCATAATTTGAACAATCTAGCTCGACATAACCCTATAGAATCTTCCACAGATCATTGTTTGTCACCCAAACTAAGACTCCATCTTTATAAAAGTCTATGATAAACCCCTAGTAAGTCTGTGCCGAACCAATTTACATCTCATAGTCATATCTGAACTCATAGCAAAAATTCATACAACAAACTTCAAACCTTGGGTCTATATGAGAGGTCTTATTCCTCATCTTTCTTAAATTCTTCCCATGACACAAATTTCAAATACCTTGAACTCTTCAATACACCATACTCTTTTGTCTTTCGTGGACTCGCTTACCGATCTTCTTATCTTTTAACCAACAATCCAAAAATTTTACCTTATACTCTAAACCAACATTTTAAAGTTGATCATAAATTTCCGCATTTTTCTTGTAATAACTGAGTTTTAGGTTGACTTGTTTTGGTGGGATAAGACGAGTGTCATCACGTTCATTTTTGGGTCATGACAACATTGTCGTTTCATCTTCGTGCCTATTCAAATGTTGCTAGATAAAATGCAATGCAGGGACTAACAATTTTGCTCTTGCTTATTCAAACTACAAATCTAGAATAGAGTAAAGCATTCTTCACTAGGATGCATAGATATTGCTTTCAACTTTCGATGAATACCCAACTTTCTCAACTTGTTTCTGTGTAGTTGAAAATGCAATCATAAGAAACCTGTTGAAAATTACTTTAAGTTACTGCAATAATTTTCTTTTTAGCCTAATAATTAAGTTGTTTTTTCTTTTTAGCCTAATAATTAAGTTGCTTATGTTTAGGATGATTTGAATTTTAAATTTTTATTAGGTTGTTTTAGTTTGTTGAGATATTTTAGGTTTTCGAATTTTGAATTATGCAATTTTTTTGTTGTAAGTTGGCTATTTAAAGCCCTCCTATGCTTATGAAAAATAAAAAATTGAGAGACATTTTCAATCTTTTTTGTTGCCCATCTTTTCAAAAAACAACAATAGTGGCATCAAAAGCATCATTGATCTTACGGGATCTATGAGTTCTTCTAAAGAACTATTTTTAACCCGTCAGAGCTACTTCCAACCTGTGCTTATTTTCAACCAATACCTATTTTAACCTATTTTCAACCATGGCAAGCAACAGTCTCTCTTTCAATGGGCCTCAAATTTCACCGACAAAAACTATCAAATTTGGTCGTTGAGAATAAAACCATATTTTAAAACTTATGTTTTATGGGATGTTGTGATGGAAGAAAAATCCTTGTAAACAACTCCTTGCAAATTCTATCATTGTCAAGATGAAAGCACTTTCAAAAGAGATTTCAAACAAGACAAGATTATTGAGGGTGTTTTTTAAGCACAAACCAAAAGAAGAAAAAGAATAAGAAGAGAAATTAATATAAAAAATTGTGCAAGTTCAAAAGAATTCAGCACCAACTTTCAAAATAGAAATTGAGGAGAGTAACTTTTTAAAATTGTAGTAACTAAAGTAAAGGATGAGTGTTGAAAATTTCTTTAAGTTACTACAGTAATCTTCTTGTTAGCCTAATAATTAAGTTGCTTAGATTTAGGATAATTTGAATTTTAGATTTTTATTAGGTTGTTTTAGTTTGTTGAGATATTTTAGGTTTTGAATTATGCAGATCTTTTGTTGTAAGTTGTCTATATAAAGCCCTCCTATGCTTAAGAAAAATAAAAAATTGAGAGACATTTTCAACCCTTTTTTGTTGCCCGTCTTTTTTAAAAAAAACCTCCGGTCAGTTTCTTCACAGTTCCCTCATTGCTAACCGCTATAGTATGGTAAATGGGTTTACCATACTTGATAGTAAGGTCCATAAGAAGATGCAAAGAAAGACCATGATACTCTGGATGATGTCAAGTTGGCTGCAAAGACTACTCAACGTTCTACCCTTATGCACACCTGATCCTATCTATAAAAAAATATTAAGGTTCGCCTTCACCCTGAAGTGAACACCCCAAAAGTGCCCGGGATAGCACAACATCTGGAGCATGGTACTTCTGATTTTTGAAGCACTTGTATAAAATCTGGAGATAATTTGTTGCAATTCTCCAACCTCTTAGATCATGGTACTGTATGTTGCTACTTATATCCTATGTTGCTCAGACTCTCGAAAATGTTGCCATACTCTTGTTAGATCCTCCAAAAAATGCACTACTTTTGGAAGACCTGGCACTCATTCATCGGCATTTTGAAGAGTCCGAGCAACATAGCTTATATCATAGTATTACTGAGGAACAGAGATGTCCGGTGGTGTTGGTCCTCCCAGCCCTTCCACCGTGTGATGGTGCAAGTTAGTAAATTTCATGGGGTGAAAGGACTCTGATTGGCCTCATGTATCCTCTTTTATCATGATAGATACAATCACCTGGATCTAAGTAAGAAAAAAATAGAAAATAATATTCAGATATTAACGCTATGAAGTTGTGGTTTTGTTTTTAAATGTATGAAGGCATATAAAGCTCTGTTATATTACAAGTTGTTTTTTATCTTTGATATTCATTGGTTTGTTACATCATACTTTATTCAAATGATATTTCTTCTTAGACATTTCCCAAGAATATTTTGTGTTGATACAACTGGCTGTTTTCTCTCTATCAAGGAATATGGGTGGCTGCTTATGTTATGAATGAGGTTCGCGAGGATATATCATGGCTAGAAATTGCCTCTAGATTTTTGTTATTGGTTATGGTACAATTTCCTGATCTTGTGCTACTTTGTTGATATGTGAGTATCAGAATATTTTTGTTGACTGCCTACAGTTTCTCTTTTTATTCAACAGACAAGTGCCCTTGTACTGGCATTCTTCTCTTTCTCAATTTCTCAACCTCTTGTCTCACTTATGAGCTTGAGGAAGAAGAATCCGAAAGAATACAAGACAATGAGTCAGGCATTAGGTATACCTGATAGTGGGATCCTATTACAGAGGGAATCGACAAGCATTTTAGATCCCAATGAACCTTTGGAAAAGCTCCTGCTGAACCGAAGGTTCCGTCAGTCCTTCATGGAATTTGCAGACAGGTTTTATTCTTTCTCCTTTTGCGAAAATTTATCATTGTATCTTCATGCTGTGTGCATGGATCAGTGGCAGCTTATCATATTGAAGAGAGAAGATGGTCCTGTCTTTTCTCCTTGATTTTAACATAATGGAATATTAAAAGAAATAAAATGTATGTGACATTCTTTGAAACAAAGAAATCACAGACAAAATCAGACCATCTTTTCTAGAGATAAAACTCTGACAGATAGGTAATCAACCCTGTGACTTCTGAAATTGAATGCACAGTAATGGAATGACCTTTTTTTCTTTTACTTTGTTCACATTGTAGTTGTCTGGCTGGAGAGAGTGTGCATTTCTATGATGAAGTGCAACATTTTGATAAAATTCCTATTCAGGATTCAGTTAGGAGAATTTACATGGCACGCCACATAATAGAGAAGTATATAGCTGCAGGTAAGGTCAATTCTTATATGAAGCAAATTTTGATGGTCATATTAAATCTTCCCTTCAATGATTCTTTAAACCAAGTTTTATTGGTAACTTGATGGATTATACACTTTGATTTTCCTACTTTATTCTCCGGTTCTACCTCTGGAAAGTATGCTCGTGCTTAAATTTTGATGCTTCTCTGACCTGCATTTGCTCATTAAACACCTGTAGGAGCACCAATGGAGGTGAACATTTCTCACCGAATCCGGCAGGAAATTTTGAGTACTAATGATCTCTCCCACACTGATCTCTTCAAAAATGCTCTAGGTGAACTGATGCAGCTTATGAAACTGGTTGGTCTTTTGCGTTCTAAACCATTACTTGCTTGATCACAATGGTATTTTGCATTGCTTAATTATCCTCTTTCTATCCTTCATTCCCTGTCTCACTCTCATCATCTCTTGTACTATTGTTGAATCGTTCTTCTTGTGGACATACAAAGAACTTAGCAAGAGATTACTGGTCGTCAATGTACTTCATGAAGCTGGAAGAGGATATCCGCATGAGAGCAGTTGATCCGGAGATGGAACATGCTAGTGGTTGGAATTTTTCCCCAAAATTGAGTTCTGTCCATTGCAGTGATGACCCTTTCCAGCATGAACATAGCCCCAGAAATTCTGGATGTCATAATCACGATTCAGAATTGCGATGACAAAACATGTGAGTGGGATCATGACTTTCCAACGTGATGGAGTTGCATATATTTGGCCGTGAACAGGAAGAGAAGTGAACCTAAACGAGACATGATATTCATCTTCACATGATGGGCTCCAGCTACCTGATTCTCCTGTTCATAAACGATACGAGCCTTCAAGACCAAGTTTTGCTGTGTGATGTTGCTGCTCATGCTTTTCAGACCTGAAGGAGCAATGCCAAGATCATGGCATGTGAAAGAACAGGGCAGACTGAAAGTGGGCTTCTAGTTTTCAAATTTGTGGGTGGCAATTTATGCTGGCAGGTAGATTCAACAAATGTATAAAGACATATAGTTGTGGTACTTAGCATACTTTTGTATCTAAGTGGAACTTCCAAGCCCCAAGGTGCATCTTACTAGACTTGTTATATAAATCAACATGCGAATAAACTTTGATATCCATTGTTGTCTGAAGTTGTGAAAGTTACAAGTGTGGTCCATGATGAAATTCTGCTTGTTGGATAATTATATTGTACAAATAAAGTAAAGATAATTCTTGTGTTTATGTATACTAAGAATAATATTAATAATCTCTAGGCACTTGTGTTATGTGGAGTGAAAAGTTAGCATGCTAATTTTTCAAGAGTTAAATATACCCTCTAAATTACTTTAAATGGGTCAATAGTACCTTATGTTTTTTGGCTTAAAAATGTCTTTGCCGTCACATTTTTGGCGCAAAAACGTCTTCCAACTAGTAAAATAGCTCAAAAATACCATTTTATTGATGTCGCTCCAAAATAAGAAAAAAGATAGTTCAATTTTTCCGTTGAACTATTCAAAATATGAGGTTTTGCCCTCCATTTAAAATTAGGAATAAGTGTTCTTAATCGTAAAGACTTGACCAAAAGCGTATATAACATTATAACTTATGAGATTAATTTGATTATTTTAAATTAGAATTTTTATACAATGTCAATTTTTTGTTTTATAAAGTAAATGTCTACATTAATTTTCACCTAAATATTTATGCTATTGTTTTCATCCAAAACTCTTTTACCTGCGATCCTCGACTATAACTTGGGATGACTTAAAGTTACGATAAATAATATAACATATCAAGGTATCATTGAATTTGATTTCTTTTAAATATCATTCTTAGAGTTAGCAAAATACATTCACTATTACTAATGTAAGTAGAGAAATAAATTTTAAATAGTTATGTAAGAAAAAGTACGTAACATTATATTTAGAAATAAAAAGAATTATACCTAATGTAGTCTAAGGAATTGAAAGAAGAAAAAAGAAGGTTATGGGTGTGTTTGGTATTAAGGAAAATGTTTTCCATGGAAAATGTTTTCCTGGAAAACAAGTTGATTTTTGACTTCTTTTCTCATGTTTGGTTGGTGAGTAGAAAATATTTGCCGGAAAAGATTTTTAGTGTTTGATTTATGAATGATTTTTTTTTTTTAGAAATATCTTTTATTTTTACTAGGGTAGAAAATAATTTTTGAAATTGAAAATATATTTTTAAAACAAACTTAAATTTTTTTGGGGGTGG